ATATTGTCGATGTTGTCATGAAAGAGTTCGTGTCGCTGATGTACACTACAAACTATTCGTTATATGATAGTATTCGTGTTCCTCGAACGTTTCTTCATCATGAAACAGTACGAACAATTCAGGTGTGTCGTCCATGGGATGGTGCTGTTGACTCGGGTCGTTTGTACGCATTGAGGCCGTGCGTTCGAGTCTCATCACTGGGTGTGTTCGTGTGTTTGTCACGAAGAATCTATTGGGCTTGTGACAAGAGTCCGTTGAGTGGGCATCGTCTGCGACGTATTGTACCGATGAAATTGGTCATTAACGACACTTTCGAAACACTTTCGGCCGGTTGTGTGGGCGCAAAAAATATTGGTGAGTGTATGAATTTTTTGTTTGCAATTCATGACAACTAATTTGAAATCGTTTCATCGTTACATCGTTTTGTGAAATTCAAATCCATTCACATTTGATACATCTGATTGATTATTGTTCACAAATCGCACACTGTCGCATCGTTCTCATTCCAGATGCGTTGACCGTATGCCGTAATAACGAAGTGTTCATCTATCGGTTGAAAAATCGCAACTTTTGCTCACTACCCGCATTTCCATCATGCTACGGCTCGACGGTGTGTTTGCAAACAAATAATTTTGTTATTGTCATCGTTTTTGTCATGTTTTTATCAAAGTCGCGTATTCATTTCAGTTATTCACGTACAGTCAAACAATGATATCGAATATTCTAAATTTATCAAATTCACTAAAAGAAAATTTCTCCTGGTTCGATCAGTAAATTATAGCGAAATCATTGTCGTTTGATCGCATTGATCGAAAATGCGCTAAAATGTGTTGTGTAAAGAGTTGTGTTGGATAAGAAGAATGGGAATTGTTTTGCGAGAATCGTCAGATATCCTTAGATCCTTAGCACAGTTCGTTGTTATCTTGTGCTAGTTGCAGATGGTACAGTTGATCGCGTTGAACACATCAGTGTACGTGTTGGACAGTTCAGGATGTATCTACATGAAGAGAAATTTGGGTGATGTGACGCCGTTTGGATCCGAGTGGTTTGTTCTCAATACTGGAGATTGTGGTAAATTCAATCGTTTATTTCTCTTTGCCAAATCCCTAATTTTTTCATAATAACTTAATGATTGATGTAAATGATTACAAGCGAAATGTTGTTCATTTTCGTTTGAGTTCAGTTGCAGCGATACGTTATATTGTCCAGAAATATTTTTCGCACCAATAATACTTTATAAAAATCCACCACCAGTATGGTATATGCAAACAAAAAAAGATTTGATATGATTTTTAGGATCACCAATTGTATCGTTTGCGGTAACAAACGTATCGATTTGGGTGTTGACAGCCGAAGCGAGTGTTTTTATGATGTCGACAGAAGACGGAAAGAATGTTGATGAGACGTCGTTGGGCAGCAGTCGGAAACCGGAATGGATCCAAGTGAAGACACCATTAGGCGGAGACGTCTCATTCGACCAGGTGCTCTTTTTTATTTTAGTCTTTTTATGAAAATTAGGTTGATGTTGTTCGTAGCGACGTCCATTAACGAGCCAGCGATGTATAGTATATTGTGGGAGGAATGGAAAGAAAATTTTCTAGTAATATCATTAGACATGTTGTGAGTGGTTGTAAACATCGATAAATTTTCAGATTCGAGCTTCTTGTTCCGGTATGTACGTTTGGTTGTTTTCAAGTGTGGCTGGGCGTCTGTGGGCCCGAAATTCGGTTTCCAAACAATCGCCTACTGGGAAATCATGGTCGGAGGTAAGTGTCGAAGAAAATTGTCTCTGGTGATGGCGAATGTCAATGGTCTATATTTTGCATGCACTGTATATTTGGACTGGAATTGAGAAGCAGTACAGAAATCAGTGTATTGTGTTGACGAGTTTCTTGAGAATGCTATTTGGTGGTTGCATACACTGTGATGTGATCGTTTTTGGTTAAGTGGGCAAGGTTGTTTACTGTGCAAATTCATAAATTCGATGGCTGGTGATCACATTCTTTAAGCGTTCCTCTTACATGATTCCAACGATCATCGCATTTTGCAGTCTTGTGAACAGT